TATATATATATATATATATATATATATATATATATAAAGGCATTTTAAACCCTTCCCACACTCTTTCAATATTCTAAACAATGTTTCAAAACTCTAAATGCTCTAAAAGAGCACAGTATGTCATGACTCAGCTCTCCGCCACAGCTGCACTCTGCGCTCTCGGCCACGCCCACTTCTTCACTGCAGAACGGAGATCAACAGGGGAGGAAGGAGGAGCTGCAGAAGGAAGTTTCTCCTGCAGTGTGGGCTGCACACAGGTGCAGCAGGTGCTAAATAATTTAAAATAATTTAAATAAAAATCCCATGCCAATCGGCTTATCCATTAATCACCCAATTGTGTGTCATGTCCAATCTTATTTTGAAAAACCGTGATAAAGCGAGTGTGCGAAAAATGAACCGCACAGTAGCGAGGGACTACTGTATCAGGATTTATCCAACCGTTTTGTTCAAAATATTTTATACCTGACTACGATCCCCTTTTAAGCCTGTGCTGTTGTTAATTATCAGAACTGATGCGATGTTGCTCACTGCTTTTAACATCGTAATGAATCAACACCCGACAGGACTCGAAAATGAACGATGACTGTGCTTTCTCAGTGTTCGGGAAAAGAAGCCGAGTTGCCACTGAGCAAAAGTAGGCATCTGTTGGAGGCCTGATGGAGCTCATTGCTTACTCGATGACCTCAGAGTAAACCTATTACTGTGGAGTATTGTGCTAGAAACCAGTCATTAAGTGGGTGAGGTGTGGAGGTGTAAAAAAGGTCCAGCAGCTTCTATTTGCCTTGAGGCTCCTCTATCGCTTAAAAAGAGCCGGGCCCCTCAGCAACCTTGTCCTTCGGCTGTTTAAATATTTTAAACTTGCTACGTGCTATTTTATGTCTCTATATAAAAACATGAAACATTTGTGCTTACATGTTTTAAATGTGTATGTGTATTTCTCTTTTATCTGCATCACTGATGGTAGTGATGAACTTTTTTTAACAGTTCTGTTGTCTCCGTTTCACAGCTTTTGCTTGTTCTCGTTGCGTATTGATTTTATGAATTACTTTGTAATTCTGCTCCGCTTCCAGTATTTTTGTTGCTCCTGGAATTAGTCAAAGGTCGTTCTTTGAAATATCAAACCAGCATGAATTATACAACAAAGGCTTTTTTTGAAAAGCTGATGTCCTTGGGGTGCAGTTGTTTTTTTTGTTTTTTTTGAGGATTAAGAAAAATAAGAATCTCCTTTGTAATTCAGTAGATAAACCTTTCACTGGTGATTATATGAAATTAATGTCAATGTTAAATGCCTGTTGGGTCATTTTATGTCAGCTTCATCAGACCTTCATAATTTATGTCATATTTAAAGCTGCAGATTTTGTTAACCCATTAAAATTAGAGCCTGACCGATATGGAAACTTTGGCTATCGCCAATACCAATATTGGGAGGGGAATGCCGATAGCTGATATAATGGCTTAAATTTTTTTGAGCTTTGTCCACCCCTTAAGAATCTAAGTAAACAGTGAGTGGAGTGGGACTTGTTTATTTAGCGCAGCTGTTAGCGACCATGCAGTTAAGCAAATTAGATCCATGCTGTACCTAGTCCCATACTAGGTTTGCAAGTGCACTGGTAATAAAAACAGTCTGCCTAATGCACGTTCACATTTTCTATCCTCCTCTATTCACCATAAAGTTATCAAGTGTGTTACAAAAATATAAATTAAATAAAGAAACATCCGTCCTTGTTCATTGTTTACACAGTCAGTATTGACCACAGCAGCATTTCTTTTTTCTTTGCAGAGAAGTAAAGATTTCAGACAAACAATGCATTTCACTGAGGACAACAATGATAATGTTACCACTGATCTAATTTACATCTACGTTAGATTTATTGTTCTGGCTACAGTTTTACAAGGCAATAGCCTATGCTAAATGTTAGCTTGCTAACTCGAGAGGCACATAGCTAATGGACAAGCGACTTGGAGGACTGAAGAGAATTTATTATTGTTGATTTTATTTTTATTTTACAAATCAGTTAAAATAAACTTACCATGCTCTGTTCATCAAAATACGCTACACAGTATTTACTGCTTCGGCTGTGCTGAAAGTGAAACTTAAAGTGAACGGCAATGACTTGAAAGTAGTCCACATGCACCTTCTGCTGGATACTTTGTACAATTATGGCTGGCTCCCAACATTTTAGGGGTGAAAATTAGAAGTGTTTATATCGGCACATACTGGGTCAATTATCACCGATGCTGACAGGCCCCCAAATGCCTATACCGGCCCAAAATATCAGCCTCTACCGATATATCAGTCGAGCTCTAATTAAAACGCACTCGATGTTTGTTTGTATTGCTCTGTAAGTCTGTAGCAAAGTTATATTTTCAAGGTTTATGATCTTAAAGACTCCAGATTAGAACAATTTTATGCTTTATTGATTAACATAAGAAAATAAGTAATTTACAGTAAAACATAAGTTAACGGTTTGTTTTTTAATTTTAAGATTCAGAATCTGAAAAGTGAAGGCTGTAATTGTCAGTTGGTGGGATCTTGTTGGAAATTATGATACTATCATTAAAAACTAAAAATATAATTTTCTTCTTCTTTTCTTTGGACTTGGAACAAAAAGTCCACAAAGTTTTATTTATTTATTTTTTTAATTTATTTTATTATTATTATTTATTTTTGCTAACTATAACCAGTTACATTTTTTTTTTTGTGGGTTGGGCTGAAATTTGCCCTAAATTTTTTTAAAATACCTAAAACTAATGATTTGTCCCATTTAGAATCAAAATGTGTTTAAATCATGCCCATACTGTTGGCTGGTACTGAATAGGTTTGTTTTTAGCTTTTATTTTTTATTTTTATTTATTTTTTAATTTTTTTCTTCTTTCGGCTGCTCCCTTCTTCAGGGGTCGCCACAGCGAACTAAGTCGCACGAAGACTTGGCAGTTATTTTTACACCGGATGTCCTTCCTGATGCAACCACAGACACTGAGCTACCACAGCCCTCTGTGTGGAGCAGAGAGCTGCTATCTAGGATACCCAGAAAAGCAGATGGTGGGGGTTAAGGGCCTTGCTCAAGGGCCCAGGGTGGGACGAATGAGGGTGGGGGCAGGTGTGAGTGCTTCACCTACCCCACCCACATTTTTGATGTTGACGGTACTGGAGCTTGAACGGGCGATCTTCCGATCACAGGCCCACCTTCTCTAACCTCTGCGCCACCACTCCCCTTTGTTTTTAGCTATTAATAATCAATATCAAAGATGATGTTACGTAATTACTGCAGATGTAAAAATGACTTAAAGTAAATATCAAAACATCTCCAGTCATGCATACAGTCACAGGAGAAAGTTTGGAAGATTATTTTCTTTTGGAAAAGAAAACATAAATAATTTGATCTTAAAAAAAAAAGTGGTTGCAAGAAAATAAAATGTTGTTGTTGTTGTTGTTGTTGTTGTATTCAGGTAGAACTTTGTCATATACATTGGACGACTGTGAAGGTTTTTGCTGATACAATACACATTTCAACCCAACTCAGTAAAAACTTATTAATAAAGTTTGAAAAGAAAAGTGGAAGTATTTATTTATTTTTTTACATTTCACAGCCGGTTACCACGGAGACAAGGTTCAATCCTGTATTGTACAACAGGCATCATTCTTCAGTGGCTGCGCTCAGATCCGTGAGTCTGATCTTTTACGTTCTCGTCCTCTTCACATAGTCTGTCGTCTTTTTTTTCCTCTGTGTTGTCTCTCTGTCTCAATCCCAGCTGTCCTTTCTTTGTGTGAATCCGTTTTGTTCTCAATGATTTGCAGCTTCCTCTGTTGTTTTGTGGGGGGAAATTAATTAGTATTAGTCTCCGTTCTCATGGACAGAACACACAGCTCTGGTTGACTCATTCCTTCATTCTCATCTTTGCTTTTCAAGTGAATTCAGAGGAGAAAACCCCCACAGACTTAGTGAGACTGTTAGCTTTTCCTTCATGTCTGGCTTAATTTTCATTCAGATTTCCACAACCCTGCTGAGTCATCTGAGGACTGAAGTCTGATGAAAAAGTTTTACTTCAAAGTCATTTTACAAAGTAGCTGGCTGAAGAGTTGACTGTCTTTGCGGATTGCATTTATGTTGCTTTTTTTTTTTTTTTTTTTCATTAGATTTTTTTTTTTTTAAAGCAACAGTTCAAATCTTTTCAAGTGGGGCGCAGTGGAAAGTTCATGAACAATTAACGTCTTACTTGTTGTAGATGGCTCTTTCAACAACTTCAAAAGGGGCACACAAGAAAACAATTTAACAACCTTTGCATCACTATCAGTTTTATGTTGCACAGTTCTTAATACTAAATGTTTTGGTTATTTACAAGCGCCACTAGCAACAGCTGTAGCTAGCTGTAGCATTTCCAGAACAGCTTGGGGCACTTCAGGCAGGAAAATTCTATTTTTGCTTGAATAACCTTGTAATATGAAATGTATATGTTGATAAAATTGTGTTTTAAAATGCTATAAAAGTTTTTAAATTAGATATGTCAGAAATTTGCTCTGAAACTGGTCCTATCTATTAATTCATTGATCTGGTCAGAACTACACAGTTTCTCCTAATTGAGGTTGTTCAATGTGTTCTCTACAACAAAACATTAATAGTTTATAGCCTTTTCTTTAGAACCTCACATAAAGAATTATTCACAGCTTATATACCAGGTTTATTCAACAAAACTGTTCAGGGGGGGCACAGTTTCTGAAAGCCAACAGCTCAGTGGCCGGACATCCAACAATTAAAGTCATTGTGTAAATAAACTAAGTATTACAATAATCTGTTACTTTTTAAATTAGTTTGTTTTGTTGCATTGAAAATTAACGTAAACAGAACCCAAAACTCAAACCAAACCCATACAGGCCCCCACCCCATTATTTTATTTTAAATTTTTTTATGAACTCAGGGCCAGACTGAAGTCACCCGCAGTCCGGAAGTGGGCTGCCAGTTGAATAGCCCTGTTATATACCATCTTTAGTTAGTCCACAACAGATGGGGTTTGTAGGAAAATTGGATTTTGGCAAGACTTTTTTCTGTAACAAGTACAGATGCAGACACTCAGCCTAAAATCAACCCAAGACTAAAACCTTCCTTATTTTGTGTAAAGGTTGCTGTCCAGTATAAGTCACCTGGTGTTGGACGAGATCCACGAGAGGAACCTTCAGTCAGATGTTTTGATCGTCATTGTGAAGAATTTGCTCAAAATCCGAAATGACCTCAAAGTTGTCCTCATGAGTGCCACGCTCAATGCGGAGAAGTTTTCTAAATATTTTGGTATGCAGTCCATCGAATTTCCTTTTTTTTATTTTATTTTTTTATTTAGCAGTAGTGTTTGTTGTAATGTGTATCATCTTCTCTTTAGACAACTGTCCAATGATCCACATTCCTGGTTTGACATTCCCAGTGGAAGAGTTCTTGCTTGAGGACATTATCCATATGACCAGGTAGAACAAAGCTGTAGCTAAACATATATGTGCAAAAACTGTCACAACCTTACGTTCACAGGCACTAACACAATTTACCGTGTAGAAACCATATGGTTCTTCTCTGGCAGATATAATCCTCAGAATGTGGATCGGCGCCCCGCATGGAAGAAAAGCTTTTGGCAGGGTCGCAACTCAAGACCTGAAAAGGAGGAGAAAGAGCTGGAATACCGCGAGAGCTGGCCCTGTTATGCCCGCACCCTTCAGAGCAGGTGAGGTGATTTCAGACAACTGTATTTAAGGTAGCAGAACAGCTGTCTGGTTGATAAAGTACCGTAGTTGTTTTGTGGAAAATAGGACCATGTGGTATTGAGATAGTTTCAGATGAATTATTTTTCATTTGGTTTTGAGTTAAACCTTGTTTGTAAATGCTGGATAGAGAATGTTTCTGAGTGCATGACAGAGAAGGAAAAATTATATGATTCTGTGAAATACTCTATTTAAACATATGTGTGGTAGTTTTGCTCCTACATGGAAGTGTAGTACAAAATGAAGTACCTACATTCATGTAGTTGTTTTTCTGCATTTTGAAAGCAGTCTCTTTCCTTCGTAGTGCTGTCTCAAGTGCTAGAGGATGGAAACATAATTGCTTCTGCTATAGTGGACTTTTTGAAATTAAAATCCCTGCATTGTCTGAGTGCACAGTAATTTGAGTTATAAATCACTTCCTGTCTGAATGCATTTACACTGCATATACCTAGAGTATGTATTTACACTGCATATACTTATAGAGTATATTCTTGATGTTCAAGCACAGGATAATTCAGAATATAAAATCAGAGACTCTTAATGGTATACTTTGTATACTTTTAGGAATTTGAGTTACTGTAAGGGGCTGTGCCCACTATCAGGCATCCCAGCTTTTACTTGATAAATTAGAATGTTTATTATCTTACAGTGAAGATGAGATTAAATCGGTTTGATTGCACATGAAATTTGAACCTTTCCTCTCTCTCCACACTTCCTGTCAAAGCCTCTGTAGTTTTGTTGACGGTGCTGCACAGCAAAACACCCACATTCAGAAAATTTGGCTGCAAAGTGTTTTCTCGCCAGTTTGTTCCAGCTTATTTTTCTTTATAACAAAGCTGCTATCTGCGGCTCAGACCCAGCCCCTCGCTACGTTTGCTGTTTTCCTCGCTCAGTCACTGCACGGGTGTGTTCATAAATGAATCTTTAATGGACAAAACATCAGTGGAACTACTGTTCATGAATTCATCTTCAAAGTGCTCAGAGGAGGGAGAGATTTAGTGCTTTTACGGGATACAAGTATAGTCAGAGTTGAAGAAGTAGTGGTCGAAACAATCTTTAAATAAAAATAACAGTGCTCTATTAAAATTTTGACCAAAATATAAAATATAAGAGTAAGTGAGAAGTACTGTCAGTCTCACACTATTTACCATTTATACAAATTAAAAAATATATGTTTTGCTGAAACCCAATAACCTTAAATAACAAAAATGAACCATATGTCATTTTTACCAAGTAATGTGGAAATGTTTTCAGTCATCCCTCATTTCTTTATACTTTGCTTCCAAGGAGCCAGATTTTCTTGTGCAGTAGTCCCTCGTTTATCGCGGGGGTTCCATTCTCAGTCCACCCACAATAAGTGAAAAACTGCAAAGTACGAATAGTAGTACAAGCAGTAAGTATATGTATACATATATGTGTGTTGCATTTTAAACCCTTCCCACACTCTTGCAATCTTCTAAACAATGTTTCTAAACTCTAAACGCTCTAAAAGAGTACAGCATGTCATGATTTCCACTCTCTCTGCCACCGGCTGCACTTTGCCTCCTGCCAGAGCTCTTGGCCATGCCCACTTCTCTGCTGCAGAGCAGCAGGTGCTAAACAATTTAAAATAATTTATTCTAAATAAAAATGCCATGCCGATCGTGCAGCTCATCCATCAATCAGCCAATTATGTGTCATGTCCTGGATGGATGGATGGATGGATGGATGGATGGATGGGATGGATGGATGGATGGATGGATGGATGGATGGATGGATGTATATATATATATATATATATGTATGTATGTATGTATGTATGGATGGATGGATGGATGTATGTATGTATGTATGTATGTATGTTTGTATGTATGTATGTATGTATGTATGGATGGATGGATGTATATATGTATGGATGTATATATGTATGTATG